CATGGCTATCCCTTGGATTTATTGCAGAATGCTTAGGAAAGGGTGTCCTCTGTTACCCACCAAGAAGTGCTTTTGAAATGTGTGTGAAAACAAAGAAAGGATTCCTCTGGTCTTGACATACCACCTCTTTAGTTCGTTCATCAAGCAAAGTTTGCTTTACAACTTTATCATCCTGACAAGAGACCCTGGGACTGGAGCAATCTTCCCAGCTCCACCTGTAGTTGCACCTCGACGCATTTGCAGTCTGAGAGATATCCTGGTACAGACCTCTTGCAGGTCCCAGACAGAGGTACCGAGGAACTTTCGCATGTCGACATCCCCGCTGCCACACCTGCCTGTGCACAACATCCAACGTCCATGTATGTGGACCCAAGAGTTCAACCACCATCCGTGAACAGTTTACCTGCAAATCAGATAACGTTGTGTACTACATCTCGTGTCATCAATGCCCCCACCTATACATCAGAAGACCAGTCATACTCTATGTGAATGATTCAGCGAACATCTTCAGAGCGTCCAAAAGAACACTGGTGGTTTCCCAGACACAGAGCGCTTACCTCTCTTGGGCACAGTCTATCAGACAACTGTAAAAGGTCTAAGGAAGTGCTCTGTTGCTGTTTTCAGACAGAAGCAATTATTACAAATGGAAATCATTTTTGGGCTCAGCACTATGCAACTAGAAGGCCTAAATGCTTTCCATTTCATGTAAACTGCCTGCGTGCACATCTCATTTCCGTGCATTTAGTTTCCGTATGTTAATTTCAAATGAACAGTCGTGCGAACCAAACCTTTAACCGTTTCACACTGAAGAAGAGCTATGCCCAAAACGCTCGTGATTTGTCACAAGATGACACTGACATATTTCTACATCATCAGTTCTTATTTTTATTTTCTTTTGAATGTTTGTGTGTGTCACGCATCAACCATGGATAACAATTTCTACCGCTTTTGTTCATCCCACATGTTTCTTAGATATATTACCTATATTATTGTCCTTTTGGGGGCACAATATTTGATGTGTTCCACTTTGGAAATTCTGAATTTCTGTGCTAAGTGATGAGTATCTCTTGTGCAAGTAGTATAATTTAGTATTTATTTTCCCAATTAATTTGAATTAAAAACCTAGTTTGGAAAGCAATTTTGATATCTAGCACTAGAAACGCACCTGCCACATGACAGGAGAGCTCAAATGCAGCAACAAACCCTCAAACATCTCAAGGAAGCACCTGGAAACTTCCAGACCAGGGCTACTGGAAAAAGCTCAAGACTACTTTATTTTCATTCATGAACCTCATCTTTACATCCCAAAAGACCTGGTATGAAATGGTATGAATTTATTCAAGCATTAAAAAGCAAAAACCAACATACAGCTGATTCCAGCTGGCTGTAAGCTGTGCTCCAAGGTCACACATGGACTGTATAGCGGCTGCCAGAGGTGCCAATGTATGCTTTCGGTTCGACCTTGTTGAGCTGTGTCGTTGCTGTACTTTGCGACGGCGATTAGCCGTGACAATTATTATTATTATTATTATCGATGTTGAGCCTCTCATTATCGCAAGAAAAAAGGGTGTCAAGGAATGGCAGCTGGCCATTAGATTTGTGCTCAATGGTGAAGGAAATATGCGGGTCGATAGAGTTCAGTGAGTCATGAAAAGAAGTAACTGCATTCTTTTTGATGACACAAAAACTGTCATCTACATAACGTTTCCAGATTTTGGGTGGAACCGGGGTTAAATTGATTGCTGTTTCTTGAATTTCCTCCATACATAAGTTGGCTACTACGGGGCTGACAGGGCTACCCATGACATGGCCGTGGATTTGTTTGTAGATGTCGTCATTGTAAATGAAATAATTGTTGGACAGCACAAAGTTCAGTAAACAAATTATGTCATCAATGTCTAGATTGTCTAGAAAAACCTTCAAGTGAGACAAGTTCTCAAGACTTTGTTGCCCACTTTGCCACTTCGCAACCATCACACCATGCTGCTGCTTCGCAGCCTAAAACCTTGCACCTTGTTTGGCTATTCTACCTTGAACATCATGAGGTTGGTTTGTGGCAAGTTCAGCTCTGCCTTGGCTACTTGAATTACTTCTATTTTCTTCACACAAATGACACTGGATAAGTGCTGGCCTGGCTCTAAACTCATACATTTGAATTAGACATTGGATGCTTTCATTACAGTTAATTATTATTTCTACCTGACATGTTGTACCTACCTGAATAACTCAACTTCTTGAGACAAAAACCAACGCCGGAGATCTTCCCTGCAAAAAAAAAGAAAAAAAAAAGAAAAAAAAAGAAACAAAATGCTAGGAGATAAATTCCTACTAAAATTTTTCTCATGCAGAGGATAACCTTCTTTTATTGCAAGAAATATGCATACATGTAGTTGGAATACTTACGATCTACAATATGCAAGGCGTAGGATAAAATGGGAGATGTGGTCTTTTCGTCTTTCAGTGATGTTGATTTCATCCTCACGATTCTATTCAAATCAAAGTAATACGAGAATAATAGAATAAAGAAAAAGGATAATATTTTGTAGGCCAAGAACCTAAGTGAGGTTTATTAATCAACTATTGATTTGGGATTAAGAGTGTTATCACATACCTTATGAGCTTTTTGTGCCTGTGGTAAGAATTTTTTCAAGCTTTCCTTCATAGCAGTGTCATATTCTTCTGAACTTCTTTTGTAGCGTATACCAAATGTTTCAACTTCTCTCAGAACTGACACATAAGGAAATAAATCTTAAGTTAGTTTTGTAATGACTGACATGATTATTGTTTAAGTTAAGGAAGAAGTTCTAACACACAGTCAAGGTGCTGGTATCTTATCAAAAGCCCAGGTAGTGTGGCTCAAGACTGAGAAAAATTCCAGACTGCCATTGCGGTCACACCCTTATAGATATGCTTATTAATGTGTTCTTACAGTTCAAAATAATTTATTACAATCTGGGGTTTGGGGAGATCAGATTCCAGGTAAATTAGATATTGACTCTGTTAGAGGTTGGTCATGCCGTGAAACATGGACTGCAGCACATAGTGACAGCCATGCTCAGTGATTAGGAATCACTTTTTATTTGAGGAGACGTGGATTTTTCATCAGCTGACATGCATTAATGCTGTTTTGACAGAGGTTGTATCATAAGGATTTTCAGATCACCCCTGGGGGGTACTCCCAGAAAAATTTGGTGGGGGTGTGCAGCCCCCTTCCCAAAACCCTTGTCCTATTTATGACCAAAATCTGCAATTTTCCCTACCCTATTAATAACCTGGCCAAAAGTTTGATACCCTATATATGACTGTTGCGACAGGCACAGTTGCCCTAAACATAATTGATAATGATGAAAAAGTAGCTTCTTCTAAAAAACATTCCCAATTCAAGACTAGAGTGCAAAAACCATACCCTATTTATGACCAAAATGGCTTAAATCAATACCCTATTTATGACCAAAACGGCTGAAAAACCATACCATTTGGGGCCGCACATACCTATATAACCCAAACAAGGGAGTATCCCCCGGGATAGCACCCTCTCCCCCCAGCAAAAAAGAATGATAACCATTACATCCCAGGGCAGTAACTGCTAAGGGTTGAGTATGTCATTGTGCAACGACATGATATGAACTATTTTTTTGGCCGTATTGCTTTTTGTGTGAAGCTCGATCTTTATCGAGATAACGGACTCTGACGGCACATGTAAGATTTTGAGTCCAAACAAAGATCTTGAATCCTTAGACGTCTCTCAGTCTCTGCCTGCACTTGTACTCGTCAACAGAGAATAAGTAAGCTTAAATTACGCGAAAAATCATTCCACAGACCTTGAGAAAAGTTCTGAAATCTTGTTGCTTAAAATAAATTCCTGTTTATAAGCTCATGTACCTTTCAATCGGTCGATTGCGAACTCCTCGAACTCTTCCAGCGTGATGTTGTCTGTTGGCGGAACCTTGTACATCTGCAGACCGTGTACATACTTGCCAACATTTTCTGCGTCTTCTAATTTTGTAATTTTACTTTTTCTTCGCTTAGGATTGCCCGTGAATTGCATATTCCCGTCGAAATAAAGCTCGCAAAGATCGAATCTTTCTTTTCCCGCCAAATGAACACGAAAATGGTCTAGGACCGAGTTCCTCTCAAACTCTGCGCCAACTGCATTGTGGTTAATTTAGGCATTTTGGCGGCCATTTTGAAGTTCGTTGTGATAAGATAAAGTGCGAAAACGAACTCCAGGCGTGTTGTCTGTTTTGATCGTGATGTTTCGATATAAATTCTGATGTTTGTTCATGAGTGCACTTATAAATTGGTGAAATCTGCTACGCACATGTAAAAATGGAAAACAGCGAAGACACTAGGAATGGGCTGCAGAAGTCCAAAAGACAACTGAAGAGGAAGAGTGAGGTATATTTAAAAAAAAACTTCAGCTTCTTTAATATTTATCTTATATACTTCTATGCTTGCATTCAACTCTACAACACTTTTGACATATTGACTTCCAATAATCTGCTACACTTTTTTGATCATACTCACTCCAGACATAAAACTGGATTTACTAATTAACTAAGGTAGTTCTAATTTGTGATCTTTGTTGTTTTGTTGCCATCAATATACCCAGGAAGGATCCACAACTGACAGGTGCAACAGTGGAAATTTTTCACAGAATGACAGGTGACTGAAAACATTTTTATACAAATTATGTTGCACTGGTTTGCCACATGTAGTTCATCATAAGCAAAGATATGAATTGATGTACACACAAACCTTTTCAAAATTTCTTGTTGCTTTCCTTTTTGTAGTCTAACAACAAAATCCTGAACATACATCATTTTGAAAAAAATTAATATAATTAATATTTTCTTTATCAATTTAGTCCCAAACTGAGAAAGTACAGTCACAGAATTCCACTACCTGATGCTGAACAGTGCATTGGTGATGACAAAACAATTCAAACTGAGATAAAGGAAAATATGCTTCTCCTCTCCTGTCAATCCCCTGGGTATGCAGTAAAGCCTTCAAAAGGTA